TCGTGCCCCAGATGCGGGAACGCATCCGAGCGCGGGTTATTTGCCGTCGCTGGCTGACCCAGATACGATTGCACGAGCACCTGGACCAGATATTGTAACACACCTGCCATCACCTCACCGAAGCATATGCGCGACATTCATGCGACGCTGCATGCAAATATGCAGGCAGCGGAAGAAGCCCGGAGGGCCGCCCGCGATTGAAACGCCAGGCGCGCACAACACATGGTCAAGAACAGCGCACAGCGCGGGCACGTGCAGACCGCGAGGCCGACTCCGAGGCCCAGGGGCGGACCGCCGCCGTTTCCGCGCGAGGCGTCGGGGCACTCGCTGCAACGGCAAGGGTGGGCGCGCCCAAACTCAGAGTCGCCTGTGGCGTCGGGCATCTCCTTGACGCAGTGCGCTGTGTGCCTCGAGTCATTTGCATTCCGCGAGCAAATGTGGAGGCTGAAATGTGGTCACCGATGCCACGCAGAATGCTGGGACCGAAACGCCCGGGTGCACGTGTCAAGAGGAAGGGCAGGGGCCGACGTGGAAGCCCCATGTGCCCTTTTCAGGGGGCCTGGCATCATCGTGGTGGGATACCCCTATGCGGGATTCATCGACGCATCGAGCTCAGCAGCTGCTGCTATCCAGCAGGCTCAGGAGATCTCTGACCTGCGCGGGAGGCCGGATGAAGTCTCGATGTCTTCCTGTGCGGCAAGCTCGGCCACGAGCAGCCCGACGCCGGCAAAGTTCTCAGCAATGGCCACGCCAATCGAGCTTCTATATTTTACGGGGACACTTGTAGTGAACGCCTCATCGGTGCAAGATGCGGGGGCACTTGCTGCCGATTCGATGCCGAATCCCCTAAGCAACCCGCTGCTGGACTGCCTGGAACAGCAGCGCGAGGAGGCGGGTTTGCGACGCCACCGCAGACCGCGCTCGGCCACGAGCAGGAAGGTGGACTCCCCATCGATGAATGTGGACATGGAACAGGCAGTGGCTGCAGAAAGGCCATGTGTGAGCAGTTCACGGCGTTCATGCTGCAGGACAGCGATGTTCGCGCCACTGGCGAAGCATCCAACGCGCTGCCTGAAACGCCCAACACCCGGAGGTGCGCTGGCAGGGTAATTGAGCGTGAGTTTGCTATTGTGAAGGACTTGGCGCCTTCATGGGCAGCCGGGATCCTCGAGGAACCAGAACCTCGTCCACCAGAGGAGGCTCGAGAGGCAGATGGGTGTGGAAACGCGCAGAATCTCGACTCCCGCAGGCATTCTGCGTGCGCATGCAGCAGGCATACTCAAAACTCGGACCCTTGGCAATCTCAGTATGTTGGAGGACGTTGGTGTGAACATTTATATCGTTGGATCGAGACTGCACGGGGGCTCGATAACTCATATTGCCAGCATGGGCACATTCTGAAGGTCACGGCCCTAGCGAGGCCCCTGTACGTCAACGGAGTTGGCAGCGGCGCAGCCATGTGCTGGACTCTGGGGACCTTCGCGATTGAGTGCAAATGCCGACATCACAACGAGCCACCGACCGCAGACGTGGGCGCTTCTGTTGGTGACATCGCTGACGGCTCTGGCTCAGACCTGCCAGCCATTCTCGGCCATGCCTCCACGCAGTCAACGAGGTCAATCCTTTTCCTGGAGGATGGCAAGGAACGCATTATCTTTCCTGGCTCGCACGCTTGCAAAGCGCAGCTTGGCAAGGGCGCGCGGGCTCTGACGCGGGGGGGGACGCCCTTGGGACACCTGGCCAACGTGCTTGGAGTTCTTCCCAGCACGGGACAGAAGCCGACGGTGGAACGGCATCTCAGGCATGCCGGGACGTTGTCGAAGTCAACCACGAGACGCTGAATTCTTTCATGGATCAGGCCGTCGACGATGTTGTCGCCATGATGGTCATCTCGACAATGGACCACTGGTATCGATCCGATCGCCCGGAGGATCGCCATGAGATATCACGCTTGCTATTGGCAGGCATTCACCATAAAGGACAGGAGGCAGCTGACATGTGGGATCCAGGCCCTGTGACGAACCTTCTCCATCCACATCTGGAGGGGGCCAGGGGCTGGCTCACTGGTGGCCCCAGCGTATTAAAGGCGGTCGCGCCCAGAGAGGCTTGGGGCACCATCCCGATTGCGGAGAGCATCCCATTGTATTTCCACATCGGAGACCCCAGCTCGTCGTCAGACAACGCCGCCGAGCAGGGCACGAGTGGGGGGGGGGCAGACTCGAGCGATGAGACGCTGGGCATCTTGCCCCACATAGACGACCCCTGTTGCTGGGGGCAGGCGGGCCCGCTGGCCAAGTCTGCTTACAACCCCAAGGAGGCCAAAGGCACGACGCGTTCTTCATAACAGTGAACAGCGTGGACACGCGCCCAACGACAAACAATGAGTCCTATCATTACAAAGCATAGGTTATCATATGTACGCACGACTACCGCTCAATTTCGCGCCGAGGGTATATGTGCGATGGTGATAATCATAATGAGGTGATGACATCGATGGGGACACAATGCGCTGGAGGCATACTTTCAGGAGACTACGCATAACAAGGAGTGGCCACGCCTGCTGACTGGTATGTCACATTGCCTGGCAAACGGGCTGGGTCACACCTGTGAAAATGGAATCTCCTAACTACAGCGCGTGCTCTCTGGATGCAAATAGTCATCATGGGGCCCAGGGCAATTTTCGGAGATTATACAAGAGGCCCCCCAACCCCTGAAGTTCGGAAAGGGAGAGAGAGAGAGAGAGAGAGAGAGAGGGAGAAATCTGGATGCATCTTTGCCGTTTTGTTCTGATGTCCGATCTACCAATACGAGACCAAACGGTTCCTATTTACAAACATGTACATTCGCCCGGAAATGCTTACCACACGCAGGAGATGCAAGTGCACGAGTGCTAATGGACAGCAGCTAGACTTGTGCTGACACGACCAGCATCATGCCGAATGGCGTAACAAGACACCGACATCCCTGGGAGCACAGTTTGTGGACCAACTTTGCCAACACACATACAAGGATAACACGCAAGTATATTTACAAGTGATCACCCGTACTGGTACGAATGTGCACCTTCTTATCGCGTAACCCCACCAGGTTCTCCCGCTCTCGGCGCGCTCCACTCAATCATTTTGCCCGCGCCGTATGCGGGCCGGGACGCATCGGACGCTGGCCTCAGCCTTTCTGGGTGCCCCATCTTTTGGAGTCGGCATCGCGCAGTGGCTTCCACTTCGTCGCCCGCAGGGGCGGCGATCACTTCTGACCCTCCTTTCACATGGGCGCGTAGACAGTGCGGTCGGCAGCTTTGGGCTCATAGGTTGGCCGCTTGCCAGCATCGGCGGACGCGGGCGGTCTAGGCACCGCACTGACGCTTGTGCTAGACGTTGGCTCCTGCCACAGGTGGGCCTTCGGGGAGCGGAGGCTTCGCACCGCCCTGGTGCCTGCGGCCATCGCGGGCTCTCTCCCGTGGTCGGCTTTCTCCAGGCATTGGCCCGAACCCTCTCGGTGGTTTACACACCAGCCCACGCTCCAAGAGGGAACTGAATGGTTTTGGCACGTTCCGCCTGGCAGTCTGACCCCACCTGCGGGCCCGGCCTTTCCGCCCTCCCCCCTTTCGCTGGCACGCGCTCAGCGGCTTTTGGGGTCCGCGTGGTGGCGCCAGGGCTTCAGTTGGTGCCTTCAAGGTTGCCTCTTTTGCTGGCACATGTCCAGTTGTTAATTATCTGCTGGTGCTTTCTCGGTTGTCTGTTTTGCTGGCACATAGCCAGCGTCGCTAATTGTCTGCATTTGTTCCCCCACCCCCGTCTGCTGGCACGCGCCCAGCGGCTTTTGGAGGTCGCGTGGTGGCGCCTGGGCTTCAGCAGGCGCCTTCGCGGTTGCCTCTTTGGCTGGCACTTGTCCAGCGCCGCTAATGATCTGCATTCCCGTGCGCTGTGCCCCAGCCTCGCTCGCACCGCCCTCTGAACTTTTCCTTGCGGGCCGCGAATCAAAAAAAATAACCCCACCAGCCCATCCAGAAACGATGCCCCGAGGAATTGCCTCGATCAGGGAAGTGAGCAGCACGCAGAGGAAGGGTCCCCCAGTATAGGCCCCTTGGAGCGTCTTGGGGGCCTTCTCTGCGGCCCCAGGCGCCGCTTAGAGCGTCTTGGGTGCCTCGGGGAGCTTATTGGGGCCTCTCGGGGGTCTCTTGACAGCCTCTTGGAGGCCTTTTGGGCGCTTGTTGGGGCCTCTTGGGCGCCTTTTGGGGCCCTCTTGAAGCGCTCCTGGGAGCCTCGGGAGGACATCGATCAAACAATAAGGGAACCTTAATTAGCCGTGCCCCCCCAAGAGGCCGTTTTGGACGCCCTGACACCTCGCGACCGGCCCCGTCCAGGTCCAGGGGAAGGGGGAGGGGCAAACCCCTCCCCGAAGGGGAAGAGGGACAGACGAAAGACAAATCACCCTAGACCACCTACGCCCTACAGGGCTGGTGGGATTTGGACCCTGGGAGGGGAATGGCCCAGGGAACGATTTTGAGCGGATTTGGGCATGCGTTGTCTCCATGCTGTTTTTTCGTATTTGGCTCTCCTCCGACCACGTCACTGCCCTTCCAGAGTGTGCGTGGTCTGCGCGCTGCGAGGGGGAAAGAAAACTACAGGAATTCAATCAGACAGTTGGCAAGCATTCTTACACCCAGCATCGTGCAGGTACGGTGGCGGACGGCCCAAAACGCTGTCCAAAACGACGCGCAAAAGGCTTCTCCCCATCGAGGATGCCACCTAGCGAGGGGTAAGGAGGAATAGCAGCAGTAGCAATAGAGCGCGCATTTGCAAAGACCGCGCGAGGCTCTGATTACCTACTGTAGCCATGAAGGCCTAATAAATGTTGGACACTTTCTCGTACTCCTTCATGTTTCCTCGCACGAGTTGTTGGCGTCCTAACACGGACTCATCAATCGACCTTGCGCGCGCATTGTGGCGCGATCGGAAGACAGATTGTCGAAAGTTATAAGTAAGTCAAATTGTTGTGACATGTCAATATCATGTGCCATGTATTCGATGATTAATGTATCAATCCTATTGCTATCTCTCGCGTGTACGGTGAACTCATTGAAACCTGCAACGAAGTATTCGAAGCAGGCTATTGATGTGAAAGGTGCTCCATCGCAAAATGTGGTAAATGCATCTTCGTTCCCGGTGCTGATGTCGTATCATTATTCTTCCCGAGATTCTGAAGCTATATTCATCATGTCAACGTGCACCTTAAATTATCGATGGGATGGTGTTGCACTCAGCAAGGCTCAAAAATCAATCGTCGCGTTTGAAGTAGTGGACGGTGCTCAAGTTGTGAAATCGAGTTATGTGGAGCCTGCCGTGACTATCAACTGGCAAACAAATCAACGACAAATGCCTGAAGCTTGTCAAGTCAAACGGTGGGATGAGGTGCTTTTCGTAGTGATATGCCCCAAATTGGGGCGCGAAGTTACCGCGACATTGTCCATGCACGCTGGATCCGAGCGCGTTGAAATCTGGGAAGGCGTACATGTTAGCATCGACCGCGATGCGCTTCCAACAAGGCAGGTGCAAGTATGTAGCATGGACGGCAAACCTGGGGATGAGAATGTCGACAGAATGTTGAACCACGCTGCGTACTACAGTGCCATTGGCGTTGATGCTGTTCGCCTGTATTATCGCGGGGGGTGGGGTGCGCCTGGGTTTTCAGATGAATTGGGCTCCGAGGAGCTCGCCGCGTGGATACAGTCAGGGAAGCTTGAGATAGTACCTTGGAATCCATCCTGGGACATGACTCCCAGCAATGATGCATGGAAGGCTCCTGAGCCTGCCGGCTGGGAATGCGCAGGTGACGGGCCAGCATATCTAGATTGCTTGTATATGGCCAAGGGCAGCGTTGATTGGCTCGGAGTTGTACAACAAGACGAGTTTTACCATCCTCAGAAACAGAAGCACTTGCGGAAAATATTGGCATCCATTCCGCCTGACATCGATTATTTGGTGTACACGTTGTACGAGTGGAATGCAACCCGTCCGGGGAAGGTGTCTAATTATCGAAGACACCTACGGCGAGTCACCGCCGTGCCCTTCTTTTTAGGATACGCCTCTGTGGTCAAACGTTTGGGCAAAGCTGGGCCACGCTTGGGCCTTCCGGCGGCCTTTGGGGCTTCTTGGGGGCCTCTTTGGCCGTCTTATGGCATTCTTGGCCCGCCTGGCGCCATCAGAAGCCGTCGTGGAAGCCTCTCTGGGCCGTTTTGGGGCCTTGTTGGTGTTGTTCAGTGTCGTTTTGTGGGCGTCTTTGAGGCCCGTTGGGCCGTCTTGGGGCCGTTTGGGGGCCGTCTTGAGAGCCTCATGGAAAGTCCTGGGGTCATCTCGGATGCCTCTTGGGCGATCTTGCGGCAATTTGGAGGCCTTTTGTTCCGTCTTGGGCCGTCGGGAAGCAGTTTTGAAGCAAATGCCAAGCACCGTGTATTTTTCAATGAAATCATTGATTTTGTTTTCGTCGGGCTTCTTGGAGGACCTATTGGAGGCCTCTTGGGTCGTCTTAGGAGTCTATTGGACGCTTCTTGGGCCGTCTTGGGTTCTCTTGGTCCATCTTGGTGGCATGGGAGGCATTTTGGGGCCGTCTTGAAGGCCATCTTGGATCGTGGGGCTATCTTGGCCTCTCTTAGGGTAATCTTGCCCGTCTTAGAGGCATCTTGGAGGCCACCTTGGCCGTCTTGGAGCCCATGGGGCCAACGGCGACCGAACATTGTGCAGCTCTCCGGGTGGCCAGCGGTTTGTGCCGAAGCCACCCGGTGGAGTTTTTTTCGAAAAGAACCCAAACCCCAGACGTTTGGCATGCCGTGCACCGTTGTGGCAAACCACGGGGTCGCGGATGACGGGAAGCGCGCGTAGCGTCGCGATCCGTGAGCCTGGAGAAGTTAGAAGGGGGAGCGTGAGGGGGTTGGCCTCCAAAGGCCCAGATGACGGACAGCTCGCGTAGCGTCGCGATCCGTTAGCCGGGAGACATTACAAGAGGGGGTGTGGGGGGGCAGGCAGCCCCAACCCCAGATGCCGGAAAGCGCAAGCAGCAGATCCGTGAGCCGAGGGAGATATAGCAAGGGGGGAGGTGGGGGGGGTAGGCAGCCCGAGCCGCAGGTGATGGAAAGCGCGCGCAGCATCGCGATCCATGAGCCAGGAGAAATAGCAAGGGGAGGGTGTGGGGGGGCATGGAGCAGCACGCCCAGATCCAATGACCCTAATTTCGGTCATGTTTGGCCCAAGCGCGCGTAGCGTCGCGATCCGTTAGCAGAGAGAAATAACAAGGGGTTTGGGGTAGGCAGCCCGAGCTCCAGATGATGGAAAGCGCGCGCAGCGTCGCGATCCGTCAGTTGGGAGAAATAACAATCGAGGTGTGGGCGGGGGTGGGGGGGGCACCCCCGAGACCCCAAGACGGCCCGAGTGGGCGTCAAGACGGCCCAAGAGAGCCCCAAGACAGCCCAAGGGAGGTTCCTGAGGGTCCCAAAAGGTTCCCAAGAAAGCCCCAAGAAGGTCACAGGAGGCCCCCAAGGGGACCCAGGAGAGCCCCCAGAGGGCCCCAAGACGGCACAAACGATCTTCAACATGACCTCCAGGAAGGCCCAGAAATGCAGTCTTCACATCGGTTTCCGCAAGGCTGGTTGCCAGATGTTATCCTTAGATCGTGCCGAAGCCTTGACACCAACCGGCCTCCAAGACACGAAGCCGGCGACCTCGCGCCCTCACAGAAGAGACGCGCTTTCCGTCCCCATGCCAGGCAGGTTCGGGTTTGGCCAGGACCCCAGGTAAGGGGACCCGTTTAGTGGCAGGGCCCTGGAGCCCTTGAATGGGCCAGAATCACTCAACCAGGTTTGCCATAGCTGGTGTTTTTTCGGGTGACGGCAATTCCGGTTCGTGGAATGGGACGGGGGGGGGCGTCCCCGGTACAGATCACTAAACCGGGTGCCACTAATCAGGAGAGGAAAAAACACACACAGACACAATTCATCGTCGATTCCCTAGGAAATATGGGAAAATATGGGAAGTGGGGGGGAAGACAGAAACCCAGACAATACAAGAAAATATGGGGAATCCTTTTATTTGTGTGTATTTATTTGTGTGTCCTGGGGCCCCTTCAACTAAACCCAGTTCTGCCAGCGCCCGGCAGGTGACGGAGCGAGCGAGGCATCAGCGATGGCGCTCATTGTGTGTGGGGGGGGGGGGTGGGGGGGGGCGAAGCCCTGCAGGGAGGGGCCCCAGGGGGCGGGCGAGGCCCGGAGGCCCTGGGCGTTATTGGCCGCCCGGGGGCCGTGTCCAAAAAAAAAACAAACCCCCTCAAACAGGACCCCTCCAAAAAGGACCCCCCAAAAAGGACCCCCCCCAAAAAAGGCCCCCCCCCCCCCCCAATAAAGCGCCCCCCCAAAAGGACCTCCCAAAAAAGGACCCCCCAAAAAAACACAGCCAAAAAAGGACCCCCCCAAAAAGCCCCCCCCCCCCAATAAAGCGCCCCCCCAAAAGGACCTCCCAAAAAAGGAACCCCCCAACAAAAAGACCCCGCCAAAAAAGGACCCCCAAAAGAACCCACCAAAAAGGACCCACTCCAAAAAAAGGACCCCCCTCAAAAAAGGACCCCCCCCAGAAAGGACTCTTGCATTTCTTCGGGTGAAGCGGCTCCCAGGCGGCTCCCGTAGCCTGTTGCCTCGTGCTTGTTCGAGTAAAGCGGTTCAAGGGCCCCAAGACGGCCCAGGAGGGCCCCCCGAACGGCCCAAAGACGGCCCCGAGAGAGCCTCAGATGGCCTCTAGACGGTTCAAGAGAGCCTCGAGACTGCTCCGCAGGCCTGAGGGCACTCGAGAGGGCTTCAAGAGGGCAAAAACTGTGATTTCTCAAAGGTTTCCCAGGTTTTTCGGGTTCTCCCTTTTTCGGGTCAACACGGCCCAAGAGGCCCCAAAGCTCGCCCCAAGACGGCCCCAGAGGCCCCCCCAAGGGGCCGACAACGGTCCAAGAGAGCCCCCAGACGGCCCAAGAGGGCCCCAAAACAGCCCCCTTGAGGGCCCCAGAGGGGCCCGAGAGGGCCCCAGACGGCCCGATGCTTTCAAGACGGCCCAACATTGCCTTTCCAGGCAGTCGAAGAGGGTCCTTGGACGGCCCAAGAGGGTTTCCAAGCGACCCGAATGGCCAAAATTGGGATTTCGCTTGGGACATCATTAAAAGTTGTCATCCATTAGGGTCGTTCTCGGACGGCCTCAAGACAGCCAACATAGCCCGACAGGATGGCTCTAAGACGCATCACTACCGCCCACTTGCAATTACGATTTCGTTGGGGACATCCTCGCGGTAATGAGATTGTATCGACATCTCGCTCTTACCCAACATCGCGAATTATCTTGGGACATCCTCGCAAAATGGAGATATCGTCGACGCCGTCTTGGTCTCGGTCTTGCCCAAAATGATGATTTCGCTACGGACATTCTTACACAAATGGGATGTAGTCTACATCGCTCTTGCGTGAACATGCAGGACATACTGACAAAAATGAGATGTCGTCGACGTTGTCTTGGTGTCGGTCTTGCCCAAAATGGCGATCTCGCGAGGGGCATCCTCACACAAATGAGGTGTTGTCGCCATCACTCTTGCCCAAAATTGCGATTTCGCTGCGGACACCCTCACAATAGTGAGATGTCGTCGACGTCGTCTTGGTGTCGGTCTTGCCCAAAACATGGCTATCTCGCGAGGGACATCCTTATACACATGAGATGTAATCGACACCGCTCTTACCCGAAATTGTGATTTCGCTACGGACATCCTCACAATAAAGAGATGTCGTCGACGTCGTCGTGGTGTCGGTCTTAAAATGGTGTGAGTTCGTTCGGGACATTTTCAAACAACGACAGTTGTTCGACAGTCTCTTGGTAGCACTCGTGCCCACAATTGCGATTCGCTAAGGACATTTTAACAGAAACGACATGTTGTCGACGTCGTCTTGGAATCGCTCCAATACGGTCCGCGAGTCTGTCCAGGCGGATTACTTAACACGGCCAGGCGGGTTAAAAGGGCCAGGCGGATTAGAAAGGCTTGGCGGTTCAAAATGACCAGGCGGGCTACAACGGCCAGGCGGTTAAACCACCCCAAGGGCGGGTTGAAATGGCCAAAGTTGTCAGCCCGGCCAGGCTATTGAAATGGTTCCAACGGCCAGGCGAGTGAAAACGACTGGGCGAGTTCAAACGCCCAGGCGGTTTAAAACGGCCAGGCGGGTTACAATGGCAATTTGGGTTCAAACGACCGAGCGGGTTGAAACGGCCAAGGGTGTCAGCGCGGCCAGGCGAGTTAGACTTGCCATGCCGATGAAAACAGTCACACAGTCGTAATGGTCATGCGGTTTGAAGCGGGCATTCGGGTCAAAAGGGCCAGGCAGGTTCAAAGGCCCAGGCGGGTTGAAAAGGCCAGGCGGTGTGAAATGGCCAGGCGTGTTAAATCGGCAGCACCGTGGACATCCTTAAACAAACGATCCATCTCGATGTTCGCATTTTGAAAGGGTGTTTATAACATCGTCTTGTAATCTCTCTTGAAGGGCCTGCGGACGGCTCAAGAGGGCCCGAAGACAGCCCGAGAGTCTCCCAAGGCGGCCCAAGAGTGCTCTACGACTCCCCGAGGATGCGACAAGGGCGAGGGAAGAGAGGAGGAAGAACGGACACGCCAGCGATCTCGCGCAATCACAAAGTAAGCTGCCTTTGCCGTTCACATGCCAGGCAGGTTTAATGGCATTCGGCCCACCACACCACCGTGGCTGGATTTCGGGTCAGGTTCCTTAGGTCGTCGTTTTGGAGTCTCTCCGGCGCGCTCTCAAGGGCTTCTTGGGGACAGTTTGAGGCCTCTGAGGTGCCTTTTGTGTGCCTCTTGGGATTGGGAGCCTCTTGGGGGCCTCTCCAGGGCCTCTTCGGGGCCTCCTCGGGGGCCTCTCGGGGCCGAGGGCCAAAGATCCCCCCGTGGAGTCGTCTTTGAAGCCTCTTGGGCCGTCGTGGAGGTCTCGTAAGCCGTCTTGGTGCCCTCTCGGGCCGTTGTCGGGCCCTATTGGAGACCTCTTGGGCCGTCTTGGGGCGATCTCGGGCGCCTCTTGGGCAGTCTTGGAGCGTCGGGAAGCCGAAAGGGCGAGAACGCCCACATCCTTTAAAAACCATAGGCAAATCAGCGCATGTTACTCATTGGGGGCTCTTGGAGGGCCTCTTGGAGGGCCTCTTGGGGTGTCTCGGATGCCTCTTGGGCCGTCTGGAGGCCATCTTGGGCGTCTTGGGCCGATCGTTTGGCGTTTCGGGGCCCTCTCGGACCATCCTGGGGGCCTCTTAGGGGCCCTCTTGGGCCGTCTGGCCGAACGAGACATGCGACAAGCCGCCCCAGAATACGAGAGATTTGGCCCTCTGGGGTCTGAGCCCCTTCAGAAATCTTCATTCAGAGCACTGAGGACTACTTGCCCGAAGGCACAGTGGCGGATCTGACAGAAGAGCACGTTCTGCGAAGTCCATATATTGGAGCTGACGGCGGGACAGCGTGGGGGGTTCTTGTCCGCCCTCGTTCGGCAGTTCATCTCGGTGCTCAAGGTGCAGTTCTTTCCAGTGACGAGGCGCTTGGTCGATACCTGGACCCTGAAGGAGAACTTGTTATGGAGCATTTCACTAAGCATCCAAACGTGAGGTTTTCACGAGACATCCGTGTGAACACCACTGCAGTCAATGTCAGATCATTGGACGACCAAGCACAGACCCTTTCAGAGACCGAATTAGACGAGTCACATTTTCTCGAATATCAGCCCTACGCAGTGTGGAAGGAGGAGTGGGCAGTTAAAGTGGCAGCTGTCCGAAAACACATAAGACACATGTACATGTGACTCCTCCTCCTCCTCCCCCTCCTCCTCCTCCTCCTCCTCTCGGGCTGTTTAGTTCAGTCCGCGCTGGCGCCGATTGTCTGTCGCGGCGAATCACTGCAGGAACCATGAGTGTCCTTGCCAGCCCACGTCTTTTTGCTTGTCTGCTTGCTTGTACATGTGAGTCATCGTGGCAGGATTCGCAGCCGCTTCTGGAAAAAAACCGAGCCCCCGAGAGACCCCAAGAGGCGTCTAAATCGGTTCCAGGAAGGGCCCGAGGAGCACGCCTAGAGACCCCAACAGGTATCCAAGAAGACGTTGGCCCACAACCCAGGCACTGCGGCAATGGGCCGAAGGCGAGTAGATAGGCGAACCATTCGCTGGCGAAGGGCCCAGTTCAATGCAGTCACGTGTAGCGCAGGGCGCTGCCCTGTCTTCATGCGCGGAAGTCAGTACTGGACACGATCTGCGTGGAGGGGGTGCCGAATCATCCGAGTGCCCCCTCGCGAGCACGCCCACTGAGGCCTCGCGGGGGGGCTTCCTGCGGGGCACGTCGCGCATGGGGTGCAGGGCCGCCGTGCGAAGTTGCCAAGTGGTGCCAGGAGGGGGAGTTTCTCCAGAGCATGCTTCGCGTGAGGGGTGGGCCGGAATGGTCGGGGTACGATGTGCGAGCTTTGCCTCTTGGGCTGTGGGTGGTGCTCCCTGTGCGGCACGGTGCGCGTGAGGGGTGTGCCGCAATGGGCGGGAGGGGCGCTATGCGAACCCTGAGTCTCAGGCCGTCGGTGGAGCTCTTTGTGTGGCACGATCCGTGTGAGAGGCGTGCCGAAGTAGGCGGGGGGGGCGGCTTGCTGGGCACGATCCGTCTGAGAGGTGCGGCGAAGTGAGCGGGGCGACGCTATTCGAAGCTTCACCCTGGTGCCGTAAGTGCAATTACTTGCTGAGCACGATGGCCATACTGGGGCCTGCTGCCCATGGATCTCGACAGGAGTGCCCTCTTGGAGCACCCTGGGGGCGCTCCCGGGGTACTCTTGGAGATCCCGAGGGCCGACCCCAGGGATCTGGCATCCGTGGGGGAACCTCCCAGGGTATGTTTCGCCCCAGGACCCTTATGAGCCGCCACGCGCGCGCGAATCAGAAACATCGAAACCTCTTGCCACAGATCTTAGCACGTTTCTGGCCGATCAGGCTGGCGAAGAACGACGACGCCGGGAACGACAAGACTGAGTTATCGTTACATGTTGTGTTTTACATTATTGCCCTTTTGCCAGCTGGCCAAATTTCAAGCACCAAGGTGCATGACGCGTATTGCCAATGCAGTAGTGTATGTATGTATGTATGATTGTTTGTCTGTTTGTCTGTCTACCTGATTGCCTCCCTGCCTTCCCTGCCTGTCTGTATGTATGTGCGTGTGCATGTATGTGTGTATGTTTGTATGCATGTATGTAGGCATGTATGTCTGTGTGCATGTGTACATGCGTTATGTGTGTTTTACGTACGTGCGAGCGTGCGTACGTACGTACGCATGTATGTATGTATGCATGTATGTGCGTGCATGTGTGTATGTATGTATGAATGTGTGTACGTACGTACATATGTATGGATGTATATATGTATATAATCATGTATGTATGGATGTAGATTTGTGTGTGCGTGTGGGAATGCTTGTGTTGGATGTATTGTATTTATGTATGTGTGCGTGCATGCATGTATGCAGGCAGACATGCAGGCGTGTATGTATGTATGCATGCATGAATGCATGCATGCATGCATGTATGTATGTATGTATGTATGTATGTATGTATGTATGTGTATGTGTGTATGTGTATGTGTACGTGTATGTATGTATACATACATGTATGTATGTATGCATGAATGTCCGGCTGCATGTGTGTATGCATGTATGTATGTGTGTATTGATGCATGCATGCATGTATGTAGGTATTATAAGTGTATGTGTGAATGCATATGTTCATGCAGGTGCGCGTATGTATGTATGTATGTATGTATGTATGTATGTATGTATGTATGTATGTGTGTGTAGGTCCCGGGAGGTCCCGGGAGGTCCCGGGACCTACACGTACCAGAGCTTGTCGGATATGCCGCCCGCGGTGGGGATGGTGTTCAGACAGATCTTGGAGGCTCCTGAGAATTACCAGACGCCGACAGACACCAGGGAGGTTTTCACAGTCACGTACAAGGCGGAGCGCTACGACTGTTCCAGCTCATAGCGGCTGGAAAACAAACCAACGTTTTAATTGTACAATCGTTTTATTGTTGCCAGTTGGTCGAGGGACGATGCGGATCAGTATTTTTTCACATGCATCGAGTCTGCTGTCGGCATTGTTTGATGCGGCCAGGCAAATTAAGGAAACCGTCCCTCCACGATCCCATGGCCCCAAATTGGTTCCCAGCGAAGTCCTCAAGCCACTGGCGCAACCAAGATTGCCAGGCGGCGGCCAAGCGCGCAGCCTGTGGCGCAACCAATGGGAGATCATCCAAGGCACGAAAAAACATGTGGCGCAGCCGACCCTCAAGGCGCAACTCATGGCATAGCATATGGCATAACCTGTGGGATAACCTATAGCACAACCTGCGATATAACCTATAGCCCAATAGCGCTACATCCCTATAGCCTTAAAGCCTTTGAGCCCTATAGCCCTAAGCCGGGATAGGGGACGGCGCAGCCTCTGCGTAGATGCGGCGCAGGGAAAAGGATGACGAGAACAAGGGATAGGAGATCTGGTGTCACGGCGGGGCCGCGGCCGCCTGGGACACCGAAATTATGGGAGGCCCTAGGCCCGTTTGATCTCGCACATGTCCGCGCAACCCTCGCACAGATCGCGGGGTCTGGCGGAGGGGGCGGAAGCCCCAACGTCGCGGCTGGCGCGCGCCCCGCACGGGAGCTGTTATACGCTCCCCGTGAAGCCCCGGCGCGCGGGAGGAGGGCGGTGAGGAGAAGGGGGGGGGGGCGGGAGGGAGGCCGCGCTCAGGGGGCCGCGTTCCGATCATGTATCGACCGCGTATTGGAGCCGCATGGGAGTTGTATTGGCGAAGGTGTTAGAAAGCCCCCGCATGGGAGTTGTATTGGCGAAGGTGTTAGAATTGCCCCGAAAGGTGTTGAACTGGCCCTGGGAGGTATTCGGGACACCACGCGAGGTGTTGTACAGCCCGGGGAGGTGTTATACGGCACCTGGAAGTGTTTTACGGCCCCCGGGGAGATGTTGTACGCTTCCCGGGGAGGTGTTGCACGCTTCCGGGGCAGGGCCCGTTGGGGGGCTCCCCGAGGGCTCGATCCGCGGCGGATGTTCTCCCGTGGGGAATCGGAGCCAGATTCTCCACGGGAGATCACCCGCTGCGGACAGGGTCCGTCGGAGGGCCTCCGAGAGCTCCGTCCGCGGCGGATGGTCTCCCGTGGGGAATCTGGGCCAGATTCTCCATGGGAAAGCCTCCGCCGCGGACAGGGTCCGTTCGGGCCCGTGAGCGCCTCCCCCGGAGATTTCGTTTGCCATGGACAACATATAAATTTACGCATAGGGAACGCAGAGGGGCAGTACATTCGACAATCGGAGATCTTGACGCGGCAGGTTATGATTTCGTTCCCGTCGGACATTCTGCAACGGCCCAGACTGAGCCCACTGGCCACGCGCCTGTCTCTGTTCCGTCGTTGTCGCCGCTCATGGCTGCGGATTGGGCTGCCGAGGTGGCGGCTCTGCGCCAGCGCGTCTCCGCGTTGGAGGCGGAACTCGTCTTCGTGCCCGTAACGGTGCTTGCCGACAACGCGCCCCCGATGCATTTCGAACTCAGGTCGGGAGCTCCCTTTTCCAAAGTGATGAGACGCTGGTGCGTGGAGCACGGCGCTCCCGAAGCGGAGGTTCAGTTTCAGTGTCATGGAGCTGTGTTGCGCGCGGCGGACACTCCCAAACATCTTCCGCCAGGGGCGGTCCGCGACGGCGCCGTGACCGTTTACGTCGCGGAGGCGGGCGCCGCCGTCCCTCCCGCGACGCAGCCATCGCCCGGGGCGACAGCGGTTGGTGACCGCGGGCACGCTCAGACACTGGCGTTCCCAGGAGCTTCCGCCGAGACAAAATTCTTGGCGCAAGGCGGAGCGGTATCAGAGAGGCAGGTGGAACACTCGCCGCCGCGTGTCGCGCCGCTGCAGGACATCAGGTTTGGCCTGCCTGAGCGTCCGTCTCCAACGCAGCCCCTGCCAGCCCAATTGCCACAGACAGGCTCTCGCCTGTTCGGCTGTGCTGCTGCTGCCTCCAGAAGAGCGTCAGACGAGGACGCAGCAACCTGGGCTTACCCGTTCCGACTCAGCGAGTGGAACGAGGACGAGGTCGGCCTGCCCCGCAATCTCATCATCAAGCCGCGCGGCCACCAAGCCTTCGGCCAGCCCTTCGGCCAGCAGCGCCCAGCGGAGCCGCCGGCCATGTCAGTGGGCGCGGAGGATTCCGACGAGGAGGAGCTCCTGTCGGCGCCTCCTTCGTCGTGTCCGTCCCCGCGGGCGGCTCGCATGATGATGCAAGATTGGGTGGACGCGGACCTGCGATGCGAGGAGGCGGCGCGACCTGCGCCTCGGCTTATTGCCGCGCCGCCAGGAGCAGCGCTCTGGCCTGACCAAGTCGCCGGCTGCTGCTCGACGGACCCAGCGGCGCCAGAGCATGCAGTTCCTGCGCGGGTGTCGCTGGGGTCGCTGGGGGGTCCCGAGTGGAAGCGGCGCCGGATGGCGCAGGCGGACGCGCCGAACCCCTGCCTGTTGGCAATGTTCCCCATGCAGGACTGGTGCAAGGCGGGGCGGGTGCAGTCAGGGGGGCCAGGAGTTTTCGTTGAGGGGGTTTCGGTAGAACTGTCGCGGTCCTTGCGTCGAGATCGAAGCGCCGCGGTTTCGGCGTTTGCGGTTTCGATCCCCCAAAACATCGGGGGGTATTCGGAAAGAGCCACGGCCACGGCGTTCTCTGCCGCTGCCGCTGCAAGTCAAAAATATATTCGACCGCCTCTTCAGGAAGCGCCGGGGTGCCCAGCGG